CACCGCGGCAAGGGCGGGCGCAGCCGGGGAGCCCCGCTTTGACACTCGAACTGGTGCGCATCCCACCGCTTGCGATGCTGCCGGGGGGTTTCAGCCGGTGTGGCTAAAACCTCCCAGGTGCCATTTTCACTTTGTGCAAACTGGCAGAACGCACCTTTCTTGATATCTCTAACTTCTGTGCACCTTTTCATGCGTTTTTCCCCTTGTGCTGGAAATACGAAAAGGAAGGTCCGTGATCCACGAGCCAACTTTGAACAATCCATACGTGTGCTGAAGCACGCTAAAGAGGTCCAGCCAGGCGTCATTTCTAAAACCTCCATTATGCTGGGGCTAGGCGAGACAGATGAACAAGTATATTCTACAATGAAACGTAAGTTGGCGTTGAAATATTTGCCAAAATTCACAGGTGTGAATTTTACTGTGTTGGAAAACAGTTGTAAGCATCTTAGCATCAACATGCAAGTCAGTTTGCTGGTGCAGGAAATGAAAAAAAAAAGTTGGCTAAAAAAGATTAAATCTCTGAAATATTTTGCCTTCATATGGCTTTCAGATTCAGTTTGACAGGTAGATCCAGCTCATGTTGATTTCAATGGAAATTATAAGTATCTTTGTGTGACTATATCCACATTCTTATCTTTGCAATACTTAAAATAATGGACTTACAACATAGTTGCCCTATTGCACATTCCTTTTTAGAAACAGCAAACCTGATTGTTTAAAATAATTTATTTCATCTTTCTTAGACTCAAAACCAGTTATTATTCTTGGAGCTGTAGCATGTTCTTAGGTTTTCATGAAAATGTACTTTTAAGAGGAGAAAATTTCAGTGAATGCAATGTGCTGGTAAGAAATTCATAAATCCTATGGCATTTCTCCCATATCCTCAAAGAATGTCTACCTGGTACTTTGTGTACAACAACCCATATTTAGAATGCAGTGATACAGTCTAGTTTTTTTGCAGCTATCCCACATCAGGACCATAAAATTACAGTTCCTGATTTTCCCATTCTTCGTACCTAGCATTTCCTGCCACAAGAATATGAAATTTCAGATTTGGTGTCATTTGTTTTCAGGCCACTATCATGGATATATTTGGAGACAAACTGTTACTCACCACATTCAGTTACTCTAATTATGTTCCCCTTCCATCCTCTGGGTATGAGTTAAGGAACATGTAAATGTGCTGATATTGAATGAGTTTCTTCACAGAACCATCTCAGTCTAAACAGAGACTCTAGGGTAACAGTGAGTATAATGCTGTGGTCAAAACACCAGCTTTTTTTTTCCTAATTGATGTGGGGCAACCAGCCCAAGTAGCCAGAAAACATTCGGAGTTGTTAAAGCAACATCTGATTCCTCAGCCATCCCTTTTCTCAGAATACCCCACTAGCTGCAGTGAACATAATTCTTCAGGTTAGCTATCAGGTGTCTGCATTTCACTCTTAAGTAGACTACCTGAACTCATTTGCTGTATATTGATCCTAGTATATACTCAAATTTTAGCAAAGTTTATGAGATTCTGCCAGCATTAGAACTAACATACCTCCTAAGTGTAAAACTGGCAAAAGATGTTGGCAGTTTTCCCTGATGTATAGCGCTCTAGAACTGTCCACATCTTTTTGGCATGAAGACTCTTTGAAACAGTGGAGAACTACCAAGTGTATGTGCCTGCATCCCTTTTTTGTTAAATGAAGACTCTGACCTAAAGCCACAATGAAAAGCAGTAAGAGGAAAAAAAGACAAGAGCACGTCATCTCTGCAGCGAGACATGTGACTGCAGCACAGTGGTATGGTCTCTTGCTTTAAACTAGATCCCTCAGGTCTTGCCACCATGGAGCTCAGAATGAGGTGAGCGGCTACTGCTCACGGAGGCCGCAAGTTCCCTTTGCTGGAGAGCAGAAGGTAACCCCTGCAGGGTGCTGCAGAGTGACCTTTGTTCAGACTTGGAAGGAGGGTGTTTTCCAGTTGTTGACAGTCCCTTGTGATCCTTCTGCTGCTAACAGGGAATTTTGATTTTGCAGTATTGCGGGAAGCAGATGTAGATTGCTTGACCCTGGGACAGTACATGCAACCAACAAAACGTCACCTAAAGGTAAAAATGCCTTTAATTTACCAGCAATGTTATGGTCTGTACCTTGCACAGTCAAGTTCCCTCTTTCTAAATTGAGGCTTGATAGGCATCCTTAACTGTGGATGTTGGGAAAAATTTCCTTCCTTGTTTAACCTGATCTTCATCCGTTATGGGCTCCTCACTAAAATTGACCTCAGCCATCTCATCCCTTCCATCTTCTGCAGACTTCCCACTGCTACTTTCTACTATTAGCTGGGGAGACAGCTGAAGCTGAGACATGGTTCTGGAAAACAAGAGTTTCAGTGTATGTCTCAAACAATGTCACAAGCCAGCTCCCCTTCGCTCTTTCATAGGCTCTCCCTTAATGGTGCCACTTCTGCTGAGAAATAACCATTTTCTCCTCCTGTAGTTGTCCAGAGCTCGAGTCTCTGTTCTGTTACTGTGTTTCACTGAAATAACTGTTAGTGAAGAGATTTGTAGGACTACTGTATTTTTTTTACTAACTTGAAAAAAAAAAAAAAAAAGGTTTGCTCAAACAGACCATTCAAAAACAGAGTGAAGAAAATTATAAAGCAACAACTAGAAATTGAATTCTAAACTTTTCAGCTAAATATGAAAAGCAAATAAAATGCACTTTCAGTAGAAAGCAGAGAAAATTCAGTTTGTGACTTGTCTGCTGAAAGTTTTGGAGTGTAAAATTTTGAACTTCCAGTATAACTGTGTTTCACATCACTACATGCTAACTATAGCCATTTTCTTTCCATTTATACCCAATCAAAATGAATTCTTTTCACTCAGGTTGAGGAGTACATAACTCCTGAAAAATTTAAGTACTGGGAAAAAGTAGGAAGTGACCTTGGATTCCATTACACCGCTAGCGGGCCCTTAGTACGCTCCTCCTACAAAGCAGGTAAATTACTGAAAAGCATTAGATTCTTTAGCATATGATGTTTTATTATGTAAAGTCAAAAAAGTGAAGTAATATGCAACAAAGCTCACCTTAGCTCAAGGACACCTCATACGGTAATTTTTTTTTTCTTTAATTATTTACACTTACTATCTTCTATAGGTCATCTAAGTGCATCAGTATGACAGTAACTGATATTTGTACAATTGCTGTGCTGCTTAAGCTATTTTTTTGCCAAACCTAGTTTGTACTATGCTCAGTGGGTGAGGCAGGATAAAGGGTACCCAATGTGCAAATTTTCCTTTACATTCTGCCTCTTGGATGCTTCAGGGTTTAGTGGGGCTCTTTGTGATGTAATTCTGTTGCCTTGGGCAGAATTTATTTACAGTGCCTTAGAAATAATCAGACACACTTAGGGCAGTAGATATTCTGACAAAACATTAGGTATTAAGTAATAGCTGATACTAATGGAGCATGTTGCTGCTTTTTCCTGAGGAGAAGGTAGAGAGGACTCATCTGGGGCACCTTGCCTAGACTGTTTTGATGCCAGCTCAAACAAGACTTATAGCAAGTTGCTGATACTTTATGAAATAGGAATTAAAAATTAATTAAATCAATTTACCTTTGCCTGTTGGAAATCACAAAGAACCAGAGCTATTTCATAAAATTAGGCATGAGGAAAAATCAGGATTTTGGGGGTGCAGGGTTGTTGTTCGGGTTAGGGGTTGGGTATTTTACATCCCTGCTGTATGTGTTGGAAGTGCTGTTGTTACAGAATTGAATTACTATAAAATACCAGTAAGAACAATTGTATTGTAGAAGAGAATACACTAAATAAGAACGTGTATTGCTTTCTTTCATTGGAATACCTACACATTATTTTGGTGCTTTTTTTCCTTCTAATTAGGTGAATTCTTCTTGAAGAACTTAGTAGAAAAAAGAAAGACAAAAGCCATCTGAAGATGAAAGTGAACCTATTTAAAGCAGCCAGCTTTAAGGATCCTTTTTTCAACACGTAATTATACTTGGTTGCAGAAAGCCAGATGGTGGATGTATGAATAAACTTACTATCTTTCCAGAACACTTTTCTCTCACCAAAACACTTCACATTATTTTACCCCATCCCTCCTGGCAAGGCTACAACTACATAGTACTTCTGCTGTTCAGCAAAAAGTCAGAAGATAGAACTGATTTTGAAAGAGTGATAGAACTGAGGTGGAAGAAATGTAAGCTAAAAAACCAGATTTAAGTAAAGAGATTTGATACTACCATGAGTATTGCTGCAGTTAATACTTATGAAGATGCTAAGAGTAATTTGAAAGTTACTGATACTGATTTGGAAGTTACTGTGTACTGATATTTTGGTGTATTGTATGGTACACAGGCTTGCAGAGGCTCTTGGAACTACAGGAGTTCTAAAGAAAGACTGTGTACATGACAGAGGACCAGATTAGGGATATCTTGAGCCACACCAGAGAAAGTATCACTACTACTCCTTCAAGAGATAGTATGTCTTGCCTGCATCTTAAGGAAATGAGCTGTACCATTCTGATAGCTAATGCTTTTCAGGTGCTTGCATGTCTCAAAGCATAAGCCTTGGTATCAAAGGTATCAAACTGAAGAAAACAAAAACCTTTTGTGGCAAAACAATTAACATTGTGTAGATACCATGTAATTTAAACATCTGGAAAATCAGAGTTAACGTAACAGCCTAAATAGAGCCACCCCTGCTTTGGGGATATGACTAAGAAACCCCACTGAGTTGCATGGATGCTTCTTCAGTACTGGGTATGCAGAACTGCTGCTGTCCTGTGCTTCTACTCCAAATGTATATATGGTCTTATCATTAAAGGAAAGTTAAAATCCTAATCCAAGGGGGTGGTGGTGTTTAATTGTTTCACCCTTGAGACCTGGTCTGGCCGTAAGTCTGCATACAAGGAAGTGATCTGCATCATGGATGAAATATGAAATCCATTACATATACTAACAACATGGCTTATGGTATACTAGCAGCTGTAACTTCTCTTTGCAGTCACCATAATTCAGAGTGCATCTCTCCTTAATAATTCTCAGTTGTCTGCTATGGTCATTAGATACCATTTTTAACTGGCTTCAATTGTATCTTCACAAAGTTATTTGGGAAACGTGCCAGAAATTTACTATCTGGTCCCATGCTCTCATCATGCAGGTTAATCCTATGGCTGACTTTAGTACTTTTCTAAAAAACTACTGTAGTCTATATGAAGGAGAGTGGACCTCCGCCTGCCCCCAACTCAACTAGATGTTAGAAGGAAGAGAGCTAATTAGCAAGTTAATATATAAGAGAAACCTTGTATTGTCATGAACAAAAGTCAGATTATACCACCGAGGCCAGTGATGCACAATTGACGCTTTAATATTGCTATACTTCATTTTGTAAAGTATTGTGAAGACAAATAGCCTTAAGCTAGAAGGAATGTACTAATTAAACAGTAGAAGTGTAAATTAGGGGAAGAGAAACCCAATCCATGATGAACAGAAGGGAAGAACAGAGAAACAGAAGTCTTAATAGCTGTACTTTATGTAAAGACAGAGAGAAAGGCAAGGTTTCTTCCTTTTTTCTATTAAAAAATATCAATAACAACTTTCAAAGTTAAGTTCAAAGTCTGACAGCTAGTCTTAGAAATACCAGGCATACTTTGAGCCAAAACCACCCTGCTTAAGCTGAGGTACACTGAATACCAGAGCAGTTAAAGGTTATCAACTCAGGTAAGGAAATTTAATGCTCCCTCCACAGCAACAGGCATGGAGCGTGCAACCTTACCTCCAGGATACCTGCACATTTAACAGCTGCCAGCCTTTATTAGAGGTCCCACTATACATAATGATTTTGACTTGCCCACAGAGCAGATTTAGCAGAATATTACTGTAGCTTTTGCCAAGTTACTGCTCTTTTCAGCGTATCATCACCAGAAATCTGGAGAAAAGAATTCTGAGCCATACAGCTGTTATCAACCTGGTACAAGAGGACATTGCACAGTAATTATCCAGGACTTCTTTACAGTGAGAGAAAGAATACTTCTGGAAACAGAGCCCAACGTTATTTCATGTTAGAATTATCTTATGAATTGCTGCTGGGTGGTTCAGAAAATGATCTCATGCTTTTACACAACTGTCTGCCAGCTGGTACCAAGTTTCTGAAGCTATGTAAGCTGTTTTCTAACTGCATGTTTTGCTGTGATTTCTAAGGAAAGCAGTCACATTCTGACTTCATAGACTGGAGGGGTGGTTTGTTTTTAAGAGTATTTGAGGACAAGTCCTAAAGTTCTTCTCCTAGTTAAGAAATCCTGCTTTTACAACCATCTTCTTTCCTTCTTGCCCATGCAGTTTTTCCATAACTGTATATTAAAATACCAAACTCACAGAACTCCTAATTATAAATTCAGCACAGGTTTCATGACTATCTCAATTTTGTCTCCAATGAAGCTTCATGTTTAGTGACATTTTCTTTTTGTATGTCAATCACTTCATTCTGTCAGTTTGTTTCACAAAGCAGCCATAAAGGATTTTAAGAAACATTAATCTTCCTTGCAATCAGGAAAACATCAAACTGAGTTTTGGGAATACGATTTCAAGTTGACACAGACACTTTAAAAGAATGAATAGTCCTTTTTAGCATCATTACATCAATCTACACACAGTATGAAGCATAATTAAACGTTGTGCAGCTGACTAGAGAACTGCTGCATCTTCCAGTGACTTCAAGTCTAAGTTAAATCAGCAAAGCCAGACCGTTAAGAGTAGTTTTAAATTTTTGCCCTACTTGATCAATAATGAATATTGGTATGCCCTTCATTTAAGAAATATTTATGCTTCTTTACTACAACATGTGGCAACTTATTGTAGATGTTCAGCTTCCAACAGAAATTCTCAGCTTGGAATAGAAAAAGCAAGTAATGAAAACTGACTGCAGTATTCCTAAATCAATCAGATAACCCATTATGCATTCCTGCATTGTTTTACAGGTTGTTTCAAACTTCAGCTGTTGAGCAAGATTACAGCACTACTGTAAATTCTAGATCAACAGAAAAACCTCAAGTGCTAGAAATGTAAACTTGGCCAATGCAAAATCTCACCACTAACTGCTCCTACTAGTCTTGCTCAAAAATGTGTCTGTTCTACTCACTTGCAATAATTTTGGCTATCATATGCCTGGAACCAGACTAGTTTTAGCTGCACAAATGGTTGAACACACATACACAGAAGAAAAACACTGCATCTTGCCTGACATTTACAATTTGTCTATGCACATCTTGGGTAAGATTTAATTTATGCAGTCTGTATCGTACTATTCATAGGCTTGTATTAAAGCTGGATTTGCTTCAGCTGTTGTATTCACATTTTTACTGTGAAAAGCAGTGTTACTATGGGATTGTATTTTATTAGGAACCCCATAAGAAAGAATCTCAGAGCACAGGAGTCCATTACTCATATTACACAATTCTCATCAAGAATGACATGCTCTAAGATCCCACAGACAAAGACTCAGTAGCATTAAAACCCATGTCTTACATGCACTGCTCAAGCCTTCAAAGCAGGAATGCAAGTCATCTCCAATTCTTATTTCCCTGGCAACTGAAGATGATGGCTGATGATTCAGTGCTGCAAAAGCTTCCGAAGCTCACTCTTGCAGCCCGTGGTAAGGTTCTCTTGCATATATGCAAGATAAGTACTGTGGTCTCCTGGAGGCATGTTCCACCAGCTGTTCACTCATTCATCCCACAATCCCGCTAAAAGAATGCGGCCACCAAAAACCGAAATAAGCCGACTCCAAGAAAGCAAAGGAAATTGCCAGTACCAGTTTTTGCCCTTGGTGCTCTTCAGAAAGGATCTACCACTCCTCCTTTCCCAAGAGAGGGTAGTTAGGGTGATGCCACTATAATGAACTTGCCATTCTTGATCATATTTATGATTAAGACACAAGTCATGATCCAGACTTTGACTAAGCCTGCAGGAGAAACAGGGTAGCAATAGGGGTATAGCACCTAGTTCCTGTCTCCTTAGGACAGCACATGAAAAGCCACTGAAAGCCTCAGCAACTGACCAGTCCTGCACATTCCTAACAGGAACAATGCTTCACACAAGAGTTAAAGGGCTCGTCTGTCTGCTGCAAGCTGATGAGGACAGGTCCCATACTGAGACACTACTATTACAGCCGTGCCCAAGTTTCTGAAAAGCATCCAAATTTTCTGAAGCCTCTACTCACCCTCCCTGGTCAGATGAGCCCTGAAGCAGTGCTGTGCTACCCTGAACATCAATCAGGACAACAGAATCTTTGAGCATAACTTGTCAGTGTCCTCTTCTTAACCCTCGAGAAGTGACCAGCCTGCCCTCTCAGGGGTTATGGGGGCAGAGGTATTCAAGTGGATGCCTATCTGCAAATACAGGGCGATTTACCAGCTTGATTACAATGCTTACAAATACCACAACTGTACCACAGAGTTGTCCCTGCTCTGTGGGCATTGTACAAAAGCAGCACTAGTGAATCAAGAAGAGGAGATGGCATGATAAAAGATGACAGTTTGATTTTAAGCCCCCATAATTCCCACTCAGAGTGAGTGGCTTCTGATGCACTCCTCACACAAGGATCTTACAATAGGACAAAAAGCCTGAGGCATATTTGCCCAAAGCGCTGAATAATCGCTGCATAATAAGTCCCTATGTGGAATCCATTAACATGCAGAATCTGAAAGCATCTGGTTCAAGGGTACAGCTATTTCAGTCAGATAACAGTCTTGTATTGCCTACCAAAATTGTTATACAAGTACCTTAAATTTTCAAATATCTGTCCTGAAGCTTAAACTGGACCTACATTTCTGTGGGTAAATAGTTGTAATAGTACTCATTACCAAGATGACACTGATCTTATGCTCTGTTTAACTATTGATATAGCATACTAGAAGGCACACCTGTTGAATAAATTCAGAAGATATTATGTGATTATTTACAGGATAATTCTCTAACATCCCAACAGTACTATTATTCAGCTAAGACATCTATGCCTTCTAGTTTGAAACCTGTTCACGGTCATCCTTCTCTATCCTACCCTCCATTTCACAACCCCATGCAACAAGCCAAACACAAACTCGGTCATCTCAAGGATTTTAATAGCACTGGCCAATGAGGAATAATAAAAACAAGTAGAAATAAAGTAATAAAGGCAACAATATCAAGATAACATAGAAGTACTCATTCCTGCT